TCAAAAACCTATAGGAAAGTCTATAGGTTTCCTATAATAACTATAGGTTTCCTATAGAACATTTCCGTAAGGGGCAGCAATGTACAAATTTGTCAACAATAATCTGTGATGTCATAACCGATATTTCCTTCCACAACTTTCCTAGCACTTCCTTGCTTCAATGCTCATGACACTCAATTTTCATTCCATCTTTTAAACTTGTTGAACCAGATCCATATATGATATTCCTTCCAGTCCTGTAGCGTTATCCCAATTTCATTTATGACTAATCTTGAAAAAGAAAACTGAATTCAAAGACCTTAAATATGAATAGGCCTACCTGAGATTCCTCTTTCCCTATGGGATTCTCACGCTCCACGGACGTCATCTCCTGTACCTTTTTCTTCTCCTCCTGGAGCTGCTTTTCCAGTTTCTTGATTGTCTCTTCCTGCTCTTCTTTCTGCTGTGTCCTTTTTTTTTCCCGGGCAAGCGTATCGGTAAGTTCCTGCCGCAGCGTCTCCAATTCGTTGTTTTCCTTCGCTCGCTGGATAACGGTGAATTGATTTTTTCATGAGTGTCTTCGTTGAGAGGAAATCTATTAGAATCCCAACATATGCCAAGGGAAGCTTGACATTACAAAGTTGAGAATACCGGAGAAAATAGGAGAGGTCACCCATATTGGGAATATACCTAGGTATGTTCATTCCATCATGGAACAATCAATATGTTAGACACACTCACGTACCTTGTGGTATGGTCACTTATCACCTATCCTGTATTTCGCAATAGTCATAGAAGAACCTGGACTAAGGAAACCTTTTATAAATCAACGCAATCATAGCTCCAGGTTAATAAGAAAATTGAAGAAATTCCAAGGCAACATGAAACAATAGGTCAAAAGTCCCATTTCCATAATTTTCGCTACAAGAGATACTCCACAGAAGTTCAACCCTTCATAGCTTAAAGGACCTTGTTGTTCATGCTGCATATTCAGGGCTCGTCCTCAAGGTGATTTATCAGTGTAGGGGGTCATTCGAAAGGATACCCATATTGCGCTTCTTGAAATATGAAACTCAAACATTAATTACAGCGTTCGAAAACATATTTAAATTTTATTCTTCTGTTTCAGATTTGAAATTATTCGATTGTGAGCATGCAAGGTCAATTTTTCACCATTGTGTTCTGATTGCTTTAATGTCATGAGTAAGCAGTAAAATCATCCTGGATTCGAATGTTGTGGTACTGTTGACTAATTTTTCGGTTGTTTCCTTAGGAGATCAGGACAATGTTTTTGCTTCCTTGCGACAATATTCAGGCGATGCTAATATAATGTACATAGCATCCCGGTATTTAAAATTTATTTTACAATTCTTCCCAAACATTCCTCTAGTAGGTACAGAATCGAGTGCTAGACTGAAATTAATAACGCGTATGCTATAAATTAATCTTGCTCGCTTATATCCATATTAAATCAGTTGCAATGCGAAATAGGCTGAATATTTTAAACTGTGGAAGTCTTCCATTGGTCTAGAGGAGAACTGCATAAAAAAGAGACAGTGAGTAAAATGAATCAGTTACTACTGATTTCGTTGAACACGAATGAAACACATTCGCAATGATAGTAATTAATACCACTATTAATTGAAAGAAATATAGGAAAATAAGAGGATGAATATTCATTATATCCCTGAGTAAGAGGCGAGAAAGACGGCGCTACCTAATATTTCCTTAATTAAAACCTCCTTAAATACATATTACCTCTGATATAATCAAGTTTAACATTACAAATATATTAGTTCCAGGGTACCTCTCATTTCATACTCGCCCAGTGTTATTCGATGAGAATTGGCAGTACCTGCGCATCCAGTCTGCCAAACGGAGTTACGTTCATCCAGCACTTAACTCATAACAAATGCAGAGTGACATGGGATGCCAAACCCTCAAAACAAAATTTATATTTGTCCAAACATAACTGTGCTTGTGGTGCTGACTTCATTCAAGATCCTATCATAATATCTTTTAGGTATTTCACAAAAGAAAGCATTGCATCCAATATAGAGACTCGTGATATGTTAATCGCGAGTGATCAGCTGCAAGATGTGGGTTTGAAGAATATAAAATTGGATATGAATGAAAGACCGTCCTTCTGGCACAATGACATCGTCATCGATGACAAAATCAAGTCATAATTTCCTTTAACTATTTCCCTCAAAAATAACATTGTTCCCACTTCGCAGAACCGTGAAGTTTTATTCGTGAGTGGTTGTATGGAATAGATGGGTTTTAAGAAGAAATATATATGAGCATAAAAGCCCCAAGAAACTCATACCTTGAGCTCCCCTTTCAGCAAGGCATTCTCATGCTCCACAGACGTCATCTCCTGACCCTTTCTTTTCTCCTCTTGGAGCTGCTTTTCCAGGTTCTTTATTGTCTCCTCCTGCCTTTCCCTCTGCTCTACCCTTTCTTTTTCTTTTGCTAACATGTGGTGAAGTTCCTGCCGCAGTCTCTCCAGTTTCTCATTTTCCTTCGTTTGCTAAAAAGTTACGAATGGAAATTTGAATGAATACATTCATTAAGAAGAAAAATGAATGCATTTTTAGTTTTCATTAAAGTGGTACATCCTTCGCATTAGAAATGTGATGCAGTTAGCACAAATCAGAGGAACCAAGATCTGTACCGCATGCTAGCGCGGGTCGCACTTTGAATACCATTGAGTTAAGGTGTATTTCAAGACATCCTAGGGCAAACAGGGGAGTAGTGGACCACTCCTAAGGTTTTCTTCATATAAGATGCAGAAAAAGCTTCAGTTGCAATATTCCTTATGTTAGCATTAAGAAGTAATGTTCCCCTCAAGAGCTAACAGAAAGCCAGCAACATCTAGGTTTCATTGTGGTTACTAAATTGTTTCTGAGTTTTTGCAGAAGTTTTGCATTAGAAAAACTTAGACAATAGAGTAACCACAATGAATCCTAGATGTTGCAAGCTTTCTGTTAGCTATTTAGGGGAACATTACTTATTAATGCTAACATGAGCGAATATTGCAACTGAGCCTTTTTCTGCGTGTTATAGGAAGAAAAACTTAGGAGTGGTCCACTACTCCTCTGTTTACCCCTACAGTGCTTATGAGGCCATTCTTTACATTGGTTTGCAAAGCAGACTATTGTCTGTCACAACCAATTTAAGAAATAAACGGCCAAGAAAAATGCGTATACTTGCATTATTTTTACTGGATCTCCGTAATGCATTAATGAAATTTGAAACTGAAAAAGTAGCAAAATTGATATGATATAGGCATTTATGGAGAGAGTAAGGGACAAGCACAAACGAAGGGGAAAATATACATATTTATTTTTTAATTTATTAAATTAACTGAAAGGGACAATTATACTTCCTGTAATCAATACTTTAACTGTTACCATCAGAGAACAGTAGCGGAGCAGGGAAAATCCACTTGAGTGGGACTGGAACTTGTCAATATTACACTGTAAAGGCCAAAAAATTGATTCACCCAGAGCATTAAATAATATTTCAGTTATCCTTTTTTCCCGTTTTGCTTTCTTCTATAATGAATTAGTGAACCTGATTCTCAGTTCTTTCAGTTTATTTCCGGATTAATGAGGTGAAGACATACCACAGCCAGCTGTGACTCGAGAGATTTGCAGCGCTCTTCAAACTTCTTACCCTGAGAACACCAATCCATGTCTAATATAATGAATCTAGGATTAACTTTGTTGAAGAAGATTCAATAGAGATTCAAGACCTCCATAAGCTGGTCATTTCGTTCGTTGAACTTAGTTTCGATGTCTTCACGTCTTTTCTGCTCCTCTTTCAACTTCTTAATGGTGTCCTTCTGCGCTTCCTGCAGGTTTATTAGGTTTCTTGCTTCTTGATCCAGTTTCTGGTTAAGTTCCTGGACGTACTTCTCTAAAGCCTTCTTATCCTAGGTCATCAGGAAAAAATAGTACGGTAATTTTCCAAATATCATACAGTTATATAAAGGAGATTGGAAAAGAATTGGGACATTGGAAAGGTGTGCACTGCATTTTTTAATAGTAACCCTGCTGGAGGTCAAATGCTGTCGTGAAGTGGAAGTGAATTCTCATGTGGTACGCAATCGCGCTAGCTTATATGCAGACACCATCACTTGGGGCTATTGTGAGATTGTGTGCCCCTCTTGGCCTCAAACACGGCACCAGCGTTCGGATTTGTTGCCTGCATTTATGGCGACCAGTGGTGGATTGGCCAGGTTGAGGAGAAATCAGATGAAAACTTCCTCGTAAAATGCATGCATTTATTGGCCAAGCCAAACAATACTTTTGGCTGGGAATGGAAGACCAATGCTGGGTTCCAAAAAATAACATTTTGTGTAGAGTTGATACTTCACGCCTTTTTACCTCTTTTAGTGGCTTTAAAGCGAAAAAGCAAGACAAAATGAAGTCCCAATTCAAGAAGTGGCATAATGAAGATCATAAGTGTAAGGCATGATGGAAAAAATCTGATCCATAAATGAACAGGGCATATTTTAAACCTTCGCCACAGATAGAGTACAGTGTCCGAAGACGTGGGAATGCTGTATTGTATTCTGTCAGTGTACGTCACATTGCGTACGTATGTCACGTAAGCAGAAATGAAGGGGAAAAATACCAAGCACAGCAAACTTTAAAATGTAATTTTAGTGCAATTAACAAAATTGCTGTGTCATATTAAAGTATCCCACACACCAATTTTCATCATATTCTGAGAGGGTACCCCGTAAAAATCCATGTCCCTTTGGGTGATTTGACGTGGAATGACCCTTAAATGTTGATTCAATATCTGAACGTTGTAGCAACAATGAATCAACGTTGATTCATTGTTATAAGCAATTAGGGCGATAATCGATCAACTCGGAATAAGAAAGATTAATACATTCGTAACAGTTCCCCAATAGTAAACTGTAAAATATATCAAAGGTCGCTTGGACGTTTCACTTCGCTAAAGCCAATGCAACCAATCTCGCCTTTAAAGTGTCATCCTGACCGACGGTGAGCACACTTTACATTCAGGTTTATTTTGTAAGTTGAGAATGGAATACCTTATGGAAAAGACGTTGCTTCACCTTTTTAGTTGTGCTAGTGAGGGGAGAGCGCTTAGAATTTGTGTTACATTGAACGTGACGTCAAAACATGGGCGATGTAGAAATAGACGACTTACTTCATGCAAGCCTCTTCGTTCTTCATGGGCGGAAACAAGCCTCTCAATCGTTTGCTTGATTTCTTCAGCTTTCTCCTAAAAGGAATAACCTTATTACTTGAGTTACGGGTTTATTAAGTCTGCATTCCCGTGTGTCTTTATACGAGGGGGGGGGTGGTTTAAAATTCGGCACAAATGTCCAGTTTTTATAACGGTGGTTCATGAGATTCCTGAAGTAGGATTTTTCCTGAAATTAGTCCTCCAGGAACAATCTTGCTTCCGAATTGCACTATCACGTCTGCGATCGCATTATGTGAATTGGAAACTTAGCCTAACCTACACTTTGCGTCCATTACCATGGACATTGTATTTTCATAGCGCCTATGGTAATTTGTTGGGATTATCATGACTAAGCGCCCCAAAATACACAACCACTAGCCGACCCGTGGAAGTCTTCCACGAACTCTTCAATTAGAAATCCCAAGTTCATCGACGGTCTTAAAATTCAGTGGCCCTATCGTCGCTATAGGCAGCAACCCCTCATTCCCATTCTTTACGTGTCGCAACGACTTGCACTCCCCTTTCATCCCATTAAAGGGAGGATGATTTCCTCGCCGGGGTGAGATTTTCGTCCTTACATTTACTGGCACTTTTTCCCAGTTATGTGGAGGGGGGTGAAGGGGGGAGAGGGGGGTGCGCAAATTGTACAATGACTCTCTCCCGTTCTCAAGAACGGATCCGACTGTTGCGAAGGCCGGAGAGAAAGTGCGAGCGGGAGACTGGCACCCATATCCACGGATGTCTTCCACGAACTGTTTCTCGGGAATTCCCGAGCTCAGTCAGCAGCCTTAAAGCTCAGCGGCCCTCAACCACATAAAGCAGCTGCACCTCCAGCCCGTTCTCAAGAATGTTCCGTGGAAGACTTCCACGAACTTCGGGTCGGTCTAAGCCATGGGTGTCAAACTGCCGGCCTACTATTTGACTTCGTCCGGACTGCAAAGTCCTCTTCAACAGTTGCTTTTGAAAAAGCGTAGACTATTTCAACCTGTTAGCAATTGAAACTTTAGTGCAAGATGTGCGAATGCGGGCCCAACCATTCCTGAAGGTTTCCATCCGGCCGCTAGCTTAGTCAAGTTTGACATTCATGGCATTTGACATTTCTTAGCCTAGGCTAAGCGTATAACATAGTCAGGGTCGCCAAAATGAATTGTGAGGCCTGGGGCGACATTCACGTAAGGACCCACTTTCCACACTTCCTCCTCCCTGCCGCATCAAAAACTCACTAAATGTGCTTGAACTCTTCATTGCGAAAGAATGCTACGCTAATAAACAATAATGTAGTACAGGGCGGCGCACGAAAAACCGGCCCGTCTCCGACCGCCTACCACGAGCGTAAATTTATACACAGACAAATTCCGTCACGACCGACTCCTCCTTGTTGCGACGGTGTCTGGCTGGCTATTCCAAAGTCTGTGTCAGTCGAAAGCCGTGAGGAAGTGGCTATAGCAGTGTGTAAAGGAGCTCTGCAAGATGTATTCTCTTCAACAAAGAATCGCAATA